AGATTAGAAGAAATAGAACATGAGAGGCATATATTCAAGAAGATGTATTTTTAACAAGCTTCCCAGATAATTCAGATACAGCATATGAAAGGCTTTGCTATTATATAAATTTCAAGAATTTAGTACAAATGATTCAAGTAATACAATTTCTATTGCAATCTATTTTTAACAGCTGTCCATAAATATATCAGCCTCTTTTTCATGATATTCTCTGTGTATCCCCTGACCTCTGAGTTGATATTAATTTATTCATATTTTAGTATTACTTTGGGAGACAGGTTAGCATTAGGGTTAGGGTTAGGCACCCAAAACCACACTGCATAATTTGCAAAATGGTGCATCTTTACATGCATTTTGTTTCTCTCTTTGCAAATAAATTGCCTTTAAAATGATACCTATACATGTAAATTATCGAGCAATAACTTGGATGTATGGATCCTTAAGGAAAAATAATGCAGACAGATTAGAACATGACGGCAGAAATGAGAAGGAGGACATGAAGGATTTTCTTCCTAGAATTGTTTTAAGGAAGATTAACCAAATGGAGGATGTCAGAATTTGTGCTGTAAGGACAGTTTGGAAGACATAGGAAATAGAAATAGCAGGTTGGGATTGGTGTGTAAAAGAAAAAAAAAAACTATGGCTCTATTTTTCTTGAAGGCAACAAGATTTTTTGAATAAGGCTCCATGCTTATGATTTCTCATAAATCTCTCCCTTTTATTTGCCTCTATATTCAATCGTTTAGTCATGGCAGCTGTTACCTATGGTATTAGTTACCTTTCCATTGCTGGGAAAAATTATCTGACACATACAGCTTAAATGAGAAAAGCTTTATGTGGATTCATAGTTTCATATCACAGTCAACCTTGGCTTCAAGGCAGAAACATCACAGTGGAGGGCCTGGCATGGGAAAATCACTCACCTTGTGGCAGCCAAGAAGCAAAAAGAAGACAAAAGACCCCAAGAAGAGATGTACCGTTGAAATGCACACCCCCAGTGACCTTTTTCCTCGAATTATAATCTACCTTCTAAATGCCCATTCAGGTACCCAGGATAAACCATCCATACACAAGTCTTTGGGGATACTTTATATTTGAATCATAACAACTCTGAACGTTCTTTCATAGCCATCCTCTTTGTCTTTCAGTGATAATCAACTTAATCTGAGCCTCATTTCCTCTTACTTCATACAATGGTACTCTTTCTTTTGACTTCATATCCCTCTGGTATGGCCTGAATTGTGCAACCCCAACTATTTATGTGCAGCTGTATTTGGTGAAAAGGCCTTTGCACAGGTAGTTAGTTAGGTGAACATGCATGTCTGAGTTTGTTGCATCACAAGTCATAATAATTAAATATTATAAGTGATCTGTCTGTCCAACAAGAGATAAATGGATAAAGAAAAAATTGCATTAATGTGCAATAGGGTGCTAGCTAGTCATTAAGCAAGATAAAAGGAAGCCATTTGTAGGAAAATGGATGGACCTTGAGACCATAACGTTAAGTGAAACAAATCAGACACACAAGTTTAAATGTCACATTTTCCTTTATTTGAGAAACCCAAAGTAAAAATGAAGAGCAGACTAAGAGATAGATAATAAAAAGTAAGGAAATAGGTGTTTCTCAAAGGGGAAGAGGATCAAGAGATAGAGGCAGGTTAAAGGGAGGGAAGAAAAAGGAAAGGTAAAAGGCATTGAATTGTACTGTGCACATATACCAACTCCACATGAGGAGTAAACATCATGTACTGTGCATGTACCAATAAAATTAAAAATTATATATGTATATAATATGTAGGAATGCAGGAGGAAGGAGAGTAGAGGAGGTTGGGAAGAAGTTAGAATTAAGAAATGTCATATACATGTACTAATTCCCTATAATGAATCATTATGTACTACAAATCATTATGTACCAATAAAAATACTTTTATGTTTATAAAAGTTAAATGAGATCATAAGGATGGTCCCTAAGTTTGATAACTGGCTTTCTACTAGAAGTTTATTGACTAGCTTCCTACTAGAAGAAAGAGGTTCCAGGGATGTGTGTGTAGAGATCAAAGTTCAGGTGAGGACACAGTAAAAAAGAGGCATCTGTAGGCCAAGCAGGGAAAATTTATTAGACACTAACTCTGCTAACATTTTTATCTTGGGCTTCAAGCCTCTCAATGAATTTCTCATATTTAAATCCCCCAGTTAATGGTGTTTTGTTTTGGAAACTTTAGTAGACTAACACACCCCACACAGAAGGTGGATTAAACTTGTTAAAATGTAACACTAATATAATTATTCTTATCCTATCAAGTCATTAATAAGATTAATCATGCTAGACTTTAAATTCATTCTTTTGGAATTTATCTTTTGCCATGCCAATTAGGAGACCCAGGTTATAATACAATTAAAGGACAGTGGTGACTTGGACCAAGTTGGCTATTCTAGGAATAGTGAGATGATTAAATTTTCACCATATAAGATGTGTAAGAAGTAGAATAATTATTAACATATTAAGAGCACAGAACTATTTCTAAAGATTTTCCATTTATAATGGTACCTCAGTTCATGAACTTGATTCTTCCCACAGTTTTGATGGCAAACCAAGTTGGATGAAAACTGAATCAAATTGAGTGGTTAGTTTAAATGCTAACAGAGGGGAGATTTAACTGCATTCTCATCCATTATGATTGCAACCAGAATTGTGGAGAAAATTGAATCAAGGTATCTCTGTAAATATTTGCTTTTGAATGGAGGTATCACTTTCATGTGGGGGCAATTTTTCAGTGAAATTCTGGAATAATCAGGATGGAGACAATAACAAAGACTCTAAACCCAAATTAAGACCCAATGGTGATGTATGAATGGCCAAGGATGTGTATCAGGAGCTCAGCATGTCCCTAAGCAGGAAGCCTTCAGGAATCCCTAAAAGCGTGCATCATGGTGGTTTTGACTGTGTGTATAAGACAATACATAAACCATCTCCAAATCAGGCAGCCATTTATTGGGAGAGAGAGACAGAGACAGAGACAGACGAGATCTAGTTACAGAGAATTAAGTCACTAATGCATCACAGAGGCACCCATGTTGAAGGCAAACATGTCCCATAACCAGCCTGCTGCTTGGCTACTGAGCTCTTGTCCTAAGGCTCTTTACATTGCTTCTGCCAGGCCAGGCTGATGTCAGAGGCCCAGCTGGACTAAAATCTTTGGAGGAGTATAACAGGACATAGGAGCAGAATTCAGGCAATTTAAACCCTAAAATGATGAACCTTGAGACTGTATCTGTCTTAAAGATTAAAATGCTAACAGGATATGATGGTTGGTGATAAATTTCAGATGGCATTTTTATCCTACTGGGGTTTCTATAGCCTCTATTGCCTCAGCAGCTACAGCAGTGACTTCTTGGTGATGCATTCAGTCTATTCACTGTGTACACCAGAGGTCCCCAAGACTGCATTAGACAGGGTTCTTGTTATTCCTGTTATTGGTAGAAAAGAAGTCTATTCCTAAATTGAGGATAGAGATACAAAGACATATATGCTATAATGGTATGCATATAAGAATTTATAGTCCTATACTGAATAAGAACATTTCAATCAGTAACGGGCACATATATCACAGTGTTTCCATTAGAATATTATAGAACTGGAAAATTCCTGTCACTTAGTGATATCATAGCCACTGTAATGTTTTAGTGAAAACCGTTATTTGTGTGTTTGTGATCATGGTGGTGTAGAAAACCTAATGTACTGCCAGTTGTTTAAAAGTGTAGCATGTACAGTGCATGATACTTGATCATGATACTAAATGACTATGTTACTTGTTTAACATAGCATAACTTACTATGCTAAATTTTGCTATCACTCATCTACTGTACTTATAAGAGGAAAACGTTGGCTGTAAAGTAGCATCCAATGTTATGTCAGCAGGTCCCTCATATCTCTTATGCTTGCCACTCTCTTTATTGTACCGAGTCCATGTTGAGCAATTGCTCAATCTTGCCTAGATTTATGTCAGCATACTCTGTGGTACTGGTATGATCACAAAATCATGTAGCACTTTTCTTGAACATATACGTGTCCTTAAACAGGCTGTAGCTGTATTTGGCATGTGTAGAAATGCTGAAGAGTCATATTTTGTTCAAACCTTGGCATTTATTGTGACACAAAGTGCATTGGGAGGAAGCTGAAAACTGTGTTGTACAGTGGAATATCCACTTGAAACTCCTAAGGCTAGCTCTACAAGCAGAAGGAGTATTTTTCACTCTCCTACAATTATGACAGCTGTCTCAACAGTAGCCACACTGCGACACGGTATTTCTGTGCTTGGAGAAGCAAAACTCATTTTTCATATCCACTTTAGGCCCTGTTGGTTGCTGGATTGATTTTAGAACATAGACAGAGCAATCTCAAAACTGTGCTCAAAGATAATTGAAGAGAAATAATCTTTAACTGTGTAACACGTCTTATTATTAAAATCGTATTTCTAATCAACTGTTGTGGCTTGTTTAAATGTCCCCACAAAGCCTCAGGCAGTCACGGGAGGAGGTGGGCCTTTCTGAGTGGCTAAATCTAGCATTTGTGATTGGTTCATTGTCTAGCGCTGGCATTGACAGTGTGAGTGCTGTACCTGCCCAGGAGCTGGTAACCAGCATACAATATAAGGGGCAGAAGGAGGCGTGATTTCCCCATTTTGTCCTTTTGCTCTGGCTGCTTTTGTAATCTGTTGCCACCTTGAATGGCTGTCCCTCAGCCATCCCACCTGCCTTGGAGCTAGTTGTGACTGAAACCTCCAAAAACTGTAAGCAAATAGACCTTTCCTTCTCTCATTTTCGGTGTCAAGCTTTTTGTCTCAACAGTGAGAGAAAATTAAGCAAGACATCAACATAAAATGTTTAAAATATGGTTACTTAAGATAAATAGTTGGCCCACGCTTCTGTCATTGTAACAGAAGAGAATTAATATATATTATATTAATCATTTTCCTGCTGCTAGAACAAAATATCCAACATTTGCAATTTAACAGAGCAGTTTATTTGTCTTGTGAATTCAATCCCTGGTCAGCTGGATCCCAGGTAAAAATGACACTATGGGACGGCATGGCAGAAGACAGTTTCTCACAGCATAGCAACAGGAAACAGAGACAAGGGAGGAGCCAGGGACAAGAAAGTGTCTTTCCCAGTCATACCATCATCAGTAAACTGCCTCTTCTGACCAGGTCTCATTTCTTAAGAGCACATTGAATGAAGAACTCATTAGTGGATTAATCTGTTGATGAGTAGAGCATCCCCACAAGTCAATCACTTTCCAAAAGCCCCAGCTCTTAACATGTGAGGTGTTAGAGGGACATTTATATCTAAATCAAAGCATACAAATAATGTGATATTAGAAATAATTTCAAGAGACTTCATCCACTCCTTTTTTGAATGCTAGATGCCATCTGTATATCTTAAAAGTTCCTGGTTCCTTATGAGTGACTCTTCTGACCTACAGGAAATATTGGTTAGTTGACTCTTCAAGGTGTATTCTCTTATCTCACTTCCCTCATAGTCCTCTGGCTTTGACTCAGATACTGTGCAGAGTGTGCTCCATTTATCCTGCCTTTCCTTTCTGGGTCCTTTCCACCCTGTAGACTACCCTAGAAGGATGTCCAACTTGGACATCACTGTGCTCCTTCATCCTTGGGCTTCTGATTTTGTTTGGACAATGAAGGGCCCAAGAGCCAAGAGAAGAAAGCAAAGATTTTAGAGTATTAATTTCTTTTAACTCTTCCGTCTCCCTTCCTAAGCTCCTCTGAAGTTCCTTTGACCTCAAGGATCCCTGCTCCTACCAATATGTTACTTGTCACAAAACTCTTCCTTCAGGTTCCAGTGAGGTCTCCTTTGTTTTTCACTGGCCCAAGATTAGCTATGACTCTACTATTGTTCACTTTAAATTCCAAATGTTATGCCTTAAGATTTCACTATGCCCCATCCACACTTTGTAATTTGACCCCTTGAATGAGACAAAAGCAAAAATACATACCTCAAATTATCCCAAATCCAGTAAGCCTGGTTTATTTCTCTTTTGCGTACAAATAGAGGTTATCTTCGTCTTGTTTGTAGACCATCTGCTTTGAAAAGATATCATGCCAGTTTAGTATCAGAGGTGGTTTCTGATTGAATAAAAGCCAACTAAGTCATTTTATTCTTCCTGAACACAATGCTTAGTGTGAAGAGGGTGTTGAGTGCATAATCTAACCTAGTCCAATTGTGTTAAATTTTAAGATATTTGCCTGTAATTTATACCTTTTCTCTCAATGGATAAACCAAGAGATATGCGGTGGTCAAATTACTGCCAGTAGACATATAATGGACATGAGAAGAATATCTTAGAAAGAGCACAACATATAGCAACAGAAGACATAGCAATATAAAAGAACCAGATCCCTGGTGGAAGCTTTGGGTCAGTCATGAGATCTATTCTTCTGATTGTTATTAGCTTATACATATTCTGTATTATTTTTGTGAGTGTCAGCTGAATTTGCTTTACTTGTATCATGAGGAGTCTGAACTGACATGTGTTCACACAGAAATTTGATTATGATGATTACACACAAATTTTCTACCTCAAAATAGGTGTGTGGACTGAAACAAACCAGGAAGGTGAATTCATAAACAAAGGTCTGCTTTCCTTTTGAGAAGCTTCTTGGAATATTGCCAGTGGCCCATAAAACTGTGCTAGTGAGTTTATTCAGCCACTCTGGAACACTCTTTAGAGGAATCCAATTAAGAAGTTTTTGGTGTACATGATCTTTTCCCATTGCAAACTCATCCATGACCTGATGTCATTACTGGCACAGTTATCTTGTAAACAAATGCTCAGTTCCAAACAGTATTTACTCAAGTTGTCATACACAAGCTGGATAAAATTGTGGTTCCCTGAAATAATTTTTAAAAGTATCTCAAAAATGTTGCAATTGTTGAGAAAAGAGAGAAATAAAAACAGAAAAAGATAGATGATATTAATATATGATGAAGGCCAAGAAAAGGTTTCAACATACCTGGAGAGTAATACAAAACCAAAGAAACAATGAAAACAGCATGTACTTCAGATGTGATTATCAGAGAATTTCAGAAATGTCGAGTTATCAAGATCTATTTCAGGTCTAAAATTGTATGCTCAGCTAGCCAAAAGTATCAGAGAAGCAGAAGTTTTTCTGAAATGTTAAAAACTTGTCAATGAAAAGATAGAATTAAGGAGCTAAAAAGAAAGATAAATATCCTTTTCTATTTCCTTATGTCATAAAATAAGAGATAATCTGTACTAGTGGCCCATTAAGGGTCAGGATGTCCCAGAGGTTTGAATAAACAACTTTCAGGGGATTTGATAATAATAAACTAGATGTTTGAAGATAGGTAGAGTTCTATAAACTATTGTAAAATTGGAACAGTATACATTTACTCATTTAACAATATTTATTGAGTGTATCTTTTATGTGTACATTCTGAATGCAGGAAATATCAAAGTTGAAAAACGAAAAGGTCTGCATTCATAAAGTTCATATTTTAGAAATAGGCAGAAAATAAACTAGACAGGAAGAAAGTAAATTCAATATTAGTGCCAGTTGCTGGGGAAACAAAGCACATGAGAAAGAATATTCAAGCCAGAGTGGAGGGTACTTAAAATTGTTAGGTGTGACATTTAAGAAAGACTTTACTGAGGAGGTGATTATTTGATAAAAGACTTGAAAAAGTGAAGGGCATAAGGCAGGTGAGTAATTTTCAAGGCAGAGGGAGCATCATATAAAAAATGTCCTGAGGCTGAAACATTCCCAGAAACTTTAAAAAATGTCAAGGAATGTATGTAGCTGCAGAGCCGTAAGTGAAGGGGCGATTTGTAGTTGGGGGTAGAGTTAATAGGAAGGGAGGAAAAAATCATGTGGGGCCTCATAGGTCACAGAGAGCCTCATCTTTCTTGTAAAGCAAGATGGAGTGCTGGGGTTTGTAACAAAGGCAAGACATTTCTTGGCTCATACTGAAATTATATATATTAATTATATTATATATATTATGTATATTAATTATATTAAGAGTAGTCTGAAGGCCAGGGATGATGGTATAGGGTAGAAACAGCTGAGATGCACAGTGATGAATTCTAGATTGATTTAACCTACTGGAAAGTTTCAAGACATTACACAGACATTTAGTCAGAATTGTCAATTATTTACTTTTTCCCTATTTACTTCTTTGTTCTTCTCTTTCTTTCTTTAGGTTACTTCTTCTGATCTGTATAAGAGCACATTGAAAATACTGCTGGTAAATATTTCAGGTATTTTTTAAGAACAAGGACATTTTGTTGATAATTTTTAAAGACAAGAGTAAATGTGGTTTACTTTCTGAAGGTGAAAAGTGACAAAGGAACAGTCAAATATGACACCAAGGCTTCTATATGAGCAGCCTAGAAAGACAGAATGTCATAAACTGAAGAAAGGAAGACAGAGTGGCAGGTTTGGAAGAAAAGATCACAGGGCTCATTTTTGGCCTATTTTGTTTGGGATAGCTTTTGAAGTTCCAGTGGAAACCACAAGAAGTCAATTGAATAAATAAGTCTTGAGTTTATAGGGGAGGCTTGGGCTAGAAATTTAAGTATGAGAATTAATAATATTTTCATGACACTTAGCCCATAAAACTAAATAAGACTGCCCAGAAATCAATGCAGTTGGAAAACAGCAATGCTCCACAAATGGAGTCCTTAGTCCTTCAAAGTCTTCGAGCTGGAAAGAAAAGATGGAAATAGCATATGATGAGAATCAAGGAAATCCAACCAGAAGAAGCAAGAAAGTGAGAGAAAAAAGTAGTTCAGAAGCCAAAGTAGAAAAGTACTTTAAGGAGGAGAGAGTAAATAATAGTTGTCAAATGATTCTAGAAGGTAGTGAAAGGGCAGAGATCAGACCATTTAAATTAGCAAAGTAGTCACTGGTTGCCTAGATACGGTGGGGTGCTGGGAGTGAGGAAAGGCTTGGCTGCAGCAGTTCCAGGCCAAGAGGGATAGAGAATTTGCCAACAGTGGGAGGGACAGTTCTTCTAAGAAGTTGTTTTTGGTTTTTGTTTTTGTCGTGTTTTGCTTTTCTTAGTACAAGGAGATAAATGAGGTTGTATTTGGAACTCAGGTGATGATCAAGGGAGGTCCTAAAATTATTAGTAGTATGGGAGTGATAGCAGCACGATTCCCTGCTGATAGGATGAGCTAATAAACAGAAAAGAAAGTAATGGCTCGAAGACAGAAAAATATGCTGGCTGGAAATGGTGAGTCAAGAATATATGTGGAGGAGTTCACCATAGCCAGAAGCTTAACAGTTTATTCAAAGCATTAGAAGACAAGTTTGGTGCTTTATATGAGCACTGAAGGAGGCAGGGCATAGAAGATGCTGGTGGGAATTCATTGAACTTTTCTTCTTTGCTTAAAATGTCCGAGCAAGGTTATCACCTGAAAATTTTAATGTGAAGGAAAAGTTGGAATTTGGAGGAGACGAGAAGAAGCATGAAATCTGTTTAGGAAGTGGAATAACATATTGATGAGATAAATTGTGTATTCAGGGATGTTTGCCTTGGTGAGCAGGAATGCAAAGACCAGTTTGCATGATGAAGTCTTTGTCTAGCTTTGCTCAACAGTACGAGTTCTGGTGTAAAGAAGGTTTGATCAGAAACGTGGTTTGATCAAGGGAATATGGCAAGATGAAAGGACTGTAAATAAAGGGGATGAGTGTACTGAGTAAACAAGGACTGTGAGGGGATTCAGCTTAAGGGAATGAACAGGAAGATGAGGAACCCAGTAGTTACCCCTTATCTATGGGTGCATCCCAGGCAGATAGAAAAGAACAACACAAGATTTCATCACATTATTCAGAACAAGGTGCAATTTTAAATTTATGAGCTATGTATTTCCAGAACTTTCCATTTAGTATATAAAGATTATGGTTGATCACAAGTAGCTGAAACTTCAGAAAGGGGTACTACAGGTGAGGAGAGACTATTGTAGATCACTGAGTTGATACATATGAATAATGTGGGTTATGTATTTCATGCACCTAGAAATACCTCTTTCAAGTGGGTGCCATTCACATGCAAAATTTATGATTGGTGTGTTTATTATACTAATTTTGTAGCATATGAAACTCAAGTATCTTGTTTCATTAAAGGAAACATCCACCTTAATAATTTCCAAGAAACAATTGAAGAATTCAAACAAACGTTTTGCAAGGACTACAGTATTTTCACCAATGGATATATATTCTTGTTCAGCATTAGGACTGGAAAACTAGACAGAAGACTAGAAACAATGGAAGCAATGGTCAACAAGTGATGTGTTTTTGATTTGGATAACATTACAAATAATTATATTGTTGATAATGACAAGGCCATGACTATTATCATGGGAGCGATTGAGCAACAAAAGGAAAAGACAACAATGATCTGACAAAAGCAGATCCTGAAAAAAGCAAGGGAAGGACAGTGGCAAAGAAAATACATTGGAGAATTAATGCTGTCATCCTAAAATTCAGCAGTAATGCTGAAACGAATGTGTTATGTTTCATTTAAAAAGTTTTAAAATGAAATTTAGTGAATCTTCATATTTATGAGTTATAATAGATGAAAAAGATTCAGATTTTGACAATGAAATTTCTGTGAGTTTTACTTTAAACATTTGCATTAACCTGTCCAAATCAAGGTTGTGTTTGTATTGTATATTATTTGTTGGCAAGCAGCTTTCGTTCATTAAACTTTCTTCTCTCTCTGCTCTCTGTCTGTCTCTGTCTCTGTCTCTGTCTCTGTCTCTCTCTCTCTTTCTCATATCTTTGAATTTAGAAGTCCAGGAATTTCATTTCTTGGGCTGCCCTTCCTCAGAGGTTTGACCAGAGTTTGTAGTCTGTCAGTGCTGTCACAGGAGACTCTCGGGTGGCAAGGAGGACACAGCACCTCTTGTGGCAGCCATGGCAGGTGTTCTTCAATTGCTGGCTGAACCCAGCTTCATCATCAGGAAGGGCCACAGAGCAAGGCTGCCATGAGACTGCTGGTGATTTGCTGCAATGCTTTGACCTCTGGGTGGCAGCAGCAACCTGTAGAGTTTGGATGCACCCACAGTGGTACCACCTGAAAGCCAAAGGCAGCCACACAACCTCTTCAGTCTTTCCAAAGACTTTTTATCACTGAACTTCATGTACTGGACCCTCAAGTTTCTTTCATTTACTTTAAGAGTACTGACACGATGTGTTATGCTTACACTGCTTCAAAGATGGGACTGCTGTTTTGTTTTTGTTTTTCCTGCTTGCATTTACCAACAGTGATGACCTCATTGACAATGCAAAATAGAATTCTAAGCAGACCTGGAAGATGGTGGCAAGCAGCTACTTAAATCAACTCCTGTGGAATTCTGAAGTAAAAAGCCTGCTGAAGATAAGATGTTAGGGCATTAAGCTGGCTACTTCTCTATGATTTTATGATACAAAAGAGAACAGAAAGGACTGTGTGGAAGTCAGCTAATTCTGGCTATGCTAGTGACCCTAAGAAGAAAGGGACAAACACAGAAGCATTATATTCTTAGATTGAGGCATAAGCAGAGAACCAGAGAACTGCTCAAACACTTGCACTCACAGCTGCATCCTTGATAAAGCCAAAGATCAATTCCTATGGTTCCTATAGGTTGCAAATGACTGTGCAAGATGAACTGAAAACCTTTTTAGGTATTTTATGTAAAAGATAGGTCCTTACTGAAAAGAATAAGCTCTGAAAATTGGACAAAGGGACATTTTAGAGGATTTGGTGAATTTGAGTCCTTTGAGTCTTAAATTCATAGGATATGGCATTCCCTTTGCTGGAAAAGTGAGCCCCTTTTTCCTGCCTATCCTGTCTTTCCTTGTTAGCAGATGGCATTGACTCTATTTGAGCTCATTACCTGGCAAGAGGTTCCCAAGTTTCTAAACTCAAATCAGACTGTTGCTGACTCCATCCAGACCCATCTGTCTTTACTTTTATAAAGTAAGAGAGATGTTTGACTTAGCAGTTTACTGTAATGTTCCTAATAATTGGTTTCACAGATAGGTGAGTTTGTGTAAGAGAGGCAGGAGAAGAGATACGCTTATTAATTTGCACACGTGCTCAGGTGAGTTTAGATGCAACTCTGGTGGGGATAGCTGTTTTTGATAAATGGGCAGGTTTTAAATATTGCAATTTTTCCATAATATTAACACAACTGCATAAAATAGAAATGGCAATGACAGAAATATTTACTGACTTCTTATGAGCATCATAACTCCTATTTTCCAAGAGTATGGAGCGTAGCAATGCAGGCATTGGGATACAGCTGAGCTGAAAACAATCTGCAAGTTTGCTGCACTTTCCTACCTCCTATTAATGTAGAGACGATATTTGGGGTCCAGCCACAGTAACTTGAGAACAGCATTCTGTATAAATTGAGGCCATGTGAGAAGACAGATACTCTAGCTGCTAAATCTCAGCCTGTTCTGGCCCTGAGATTATATTTTGTTCTTCTCTGGAATTGGTGTCCTAGCTCAATCAAGTTATTGCAAGGTGAGGTAGAGACTGATAGTTTTCCCTTTGCTTGCCAACTTTGGACACATGTAGAATATAAGCGATCATAACTATGACAAGAATAATGATGTTAATTGCATCTTGTGTTTATTGACTACATGCCAGATACTGGTGTACTAAATGCTCTCTAGGTTTTAACTCATTTAGTCCCAATAGGCCTATAAAAGAAATGTTATTATAATCCTGACTCATAGGTTGCTAAAACAAATTCATGAGAGCCAAATAGCTAGCTAAAAATCACACAGGTAATTAAAGGTAGAAATGGGACTTAAGACTTTCTTGTCTAAAACCCAAGATTTTATCCACTCTTTTGATAAAGTATAACCCTTCCAACTTCTTTTTGGCTCATGTCTTAGAACAGCATGTTGTTCTAATGTAATACCATTCACAGAAGGCTTTTATATGACATGCATTTTCCCACAGTTCTGAAAGTTTGGGAAGTCAATGTTCAAAGGCACCTGAAAATTCCACGTCTGAGAAGCGAGCCCTTCCTGGTTCATAGATATGCTCTTGCAGTGTTCTCACCAAGGGAGAACATTCAAAGAGCTCTCTGTGAGTTTCTCACAAAGGCACTATTCCCATTTATGAGGGTGCCTCTCTCATGACGTGAAACCCCTCACAGGCACCACCATTATCCCACCACCACTATCCCATCAGGTTTCAACATATGAATTGGGGTAGAGAGGGGTACACACGCAGTTGCACATGTGACCCCGGGCCCTGTATGTTTTATCTGTTAAGTGTCTCTCAAACCTATTTACTGTTTCCACCACCATCACTCTAATAATGCATGCCATGATCCTTTTCTAAATGATTACTGCAGTACATTCCTAACTAATGCATGATCATTGATTCTGGCCCCAATTTCTAATCTGCTTTCCACCTTTTAGCCAAAGGGAAAATCTCAAAGGGTAAATACAATTAAGTTGTGCCCCTCAATGAGACAATATGGGGAGACGACTTCAATGGCACCATGTAAAGATGTATCTCTTCAGGGTAGCTTTGAAGAGCTCTACGTTGAGCCTCACTGGGCCTGTTGCTCCCCGTCTGCTCCCTCCCTCACCCCTGGATTCTCCTCTGCGGCCAGTCCCATGTGTCTTCCTTGGCTTGTCAAACGCACAGTGCGTTTTTCTTCCCCGATCCTGTGCGCATGCCCAGTGCTGGAATGCTCCTCCAGCCTCCAGCTTCCCTTTACCTAATTAATGTCATCTTCTCATACATCAAAGCTGAGATGCTTCCCCTGAGAAAAGTCTTCTGATCTCTGAAATAAATTAATTTCCCTCATTGAAAATTCTTATAGCAACATTAAGCCTTTTCTTGGAGAATGGGATTCTATAAGTATTCATGTGCTGCTTTGATGTCTCTCCCTGGCTATACAGCAAGCGCGGTGAGGCAGGAACCAGGTCAGGTTCTGCTGACTTTTGAAGCTCCTGAGCTCAGGGCAACACTTGGTATAAAGCAGTTGTTCTTGCAATCGTTAACTTGAATTAAATAAAGTGCACTTTCCAGGAAGAGTGGAAAAGGCAAGCTCCTCTAAATGTCCAAAATGGGCTTAGGATTCTATGGAGGATAAAGTTAAGCTGATGGTGGGAGTTGGGATCAATGGGGAAGATATGCCAGCCAGCCATGCCAGGCTCCTGCCTTTTCTGAGGCTGAGAGGGCAGAAGTTAGCTCTGGTCAAGTTCGAACTGGCAGGAGTAGTACTACAGGCTTGCATTTGAAGTCAGTCACAGGAAACAGCTAGTGAACACACGGAATATCAAGTTTGTGCAATTTCTTCCTACCTCATCGTCAAGAGCCAGGGGTGCGGTTCTGGGAAAGCAGGAGTTGGAAAGAAAAACTACGCACAGTCCTCCCTTCTGAGCAGAAAGCCTGAAATTGTGGGCCTGGGTCCGGGGCACCTGGGCAGAGAAAGAACATGCTGCTCAGGACATTAGGCTCTCTCTCCACATCTAGGCTCTAGCTATGCCCAGGAGGGGATCTGGCAACCATTACAAGTTTGCTCTTCAGTTAGAGATAAGGGCTGGCTTTGATAGTGACCCCACCCTCTAGCCCCAGACTGCGGATTGTCAAGTCCTGCATTTAGGTAGTCATTCTTTGGTCTCTAAAAAGAAATCATAAACTCAAGGGGAGAGAAGACATCAGGTTGATTTGTCAGAATTGTTTCAGACATTATTATAATTATAATCGCAGTTTGATGGAATCGAAATAATTTGAAGAAAATGAACAGCTAATGTTGGCTGCAGGTGAGGGAAACAGCAGGAAAGAAACTTCATCTTTTTTACAAAATAGTTTCCCCATAAATCTGAAGAATAAAAAGTCTTGTATTCCAATTGAAGATTCAAAGGATACTTATTTTTTTAAAAGATTATTACAACACATCTTCAGTTAGTTTTAGCAGCAGTAATCCTGTTGGACTTGGACTTTATTGTTGTTGAAGAGAGACCATGTTTGCCTTTGCTTGGAAACCATAAAACCACAACAGAATAAATTCTCCTGAATGCTACCAGGCAACACCGGGATGGCATTAAAAAAAAAAAAAAAAAAAAAAACTCATCCTAATAAATAAGATCTAATACAATCCAGGTGTCAAGTACTTTCTTAAGAAATGTAAGCTTCGTGAACACAACAATATAGGTTTACTAGTCTCTCTCAAATTGTGATATTCATCTGACAGCTTCAGAAGTCACCTGGTAGGATCTTCCTGAAGGTCGAGGAACGCTCTCCTCAACTACTTCAGTCCTTCCTGGGACCGTCAGGGGACTTCCTGACCTTTCAGACAGATTCTGCTTAGAGACACCAGCGGTGCAGGGACAGCCTGGGCAAAAGTTAGCAGCCAGGGCAGCCGTGATCTTTGGGCCTCGGAGGAAGTCCCAGCTCCCCGGGCCTTTCCCTGCCCACCTACTTGGACCCTACTGGAGGGATCTCATGCAAAGGCCCGCTGACAGGGCGGCTCACCAGGAGGACTTGGCGGCTGCAGAGAAGGAGCCAGAGCCAAGCAACGCTCGGAGGTAAGTAGGGGCTGCTGCCAGCGATTCTCCAGGTCCCGCCCCCAGCTCTGCCGGGGACAGACGCATCTTGGAGCCCGGGGAGCGGGGTTGGGCAGGGGGTGTGGCGGCCCAGAGGTGGCGCTGGGTCTCCTCCGGAGGCTGAGCCCTTCTGGGTGACCTTTCCTCCTGACAGGAGCACAAGCTGCGAGGGGCGGGATGGGGGAGGCCTAATCCCCTGGGTTCAGCCGGGAGAGGAAGCGGTCGCGGGAGGCAGTGTGTGCGCGCCAGCCGGCGAGCGCGGGCCCGAGCGTGCTGGGATTGTTGCACTCGGTCACCAGGGCGGCCGGGCTCTCTGCAGACCGCGCCCGAGACCCGGCGACAGGCGGAGAACAGCGACGCACCCGCCGCCCCGCGGCGCCAGGAGGAGCAGTAGTCTGCTCGCGTCGCCTCGCTGCTGGGAACCGAAGCAGGCCGCCTGACAAGGTAAAATCTACAGCCTGAAACACCTAGAAACTGGAGAGAGGCAGGTTCACGACAAACAAATTGCAGACACATTGCAAGCAAGTTTGCTCTTGCAAGCTGAGCTCTGCGTGCTGGTTGGGAGGAAGAGGGTAGCGGTGGTGTGCATGTGTGTAACCCTCGTGGATAAGGAGACGAGGGGGCTGGAGAGCCTCTTTTCAGCTCGTACGTAGATATCCCTATGAATTCCCCCTCCCTGAATTGTCATTTCCGTTCGTGGCACATCCTTGGCTCCGGTGATGCAGAAGCGAAAGCAGCCACCCTCTTGTGATGGTCGGTGCCGTCGCTACTATCAGATGGGAAATGCTGGGGGTTGAGCAGATTCTAGGAGCCTCCTTTCCTCCACCCCTAGACTATTTTAGGAAGGGCTGGGGGAGGGAATGTGGGGAGCAGAGTCCAGGGCTTGAAGGCTGCGCGGAGGCCCAGGCGACTCCGCTGGCGCTGTCATGGTGCGGTGCAGTTGCACTGGTGGGCAGGCTAAGTTTCATCTCCCATCCGGAAAGGCACGTTTCAGGGACATTCTGCATTGCTGCTGGGCGAGTTCGAGGAAATGGTGGTGCACAGGGCGGCAGGTGCACCGCACTGGGCTGGGATACAGTGCACGAGGAAGCCGCGTCCTCTGCCCAGCAGGGAGAGGGGTGGCCAGGGGTGCTGATAGGGATAACAGTGTTTGATGTTGTTAAGTTCGGGCCTCCTCCATAGCCACAGTCAGGTTCAGCCCCTGGAGAAATATCTGGGAAACTTTAGATCCTTGGAATGTTCATTTCTGAGATTTTCAGTTTGGGATAGAAAACTTATATGTATTTGAATTTTGTTCTGTGGACTTTAAGAAAGCTCAGAGTGAATTATTTCTCTCTCTTTTAATGCCATTTAGTTTTTTCTTGATTTGGGAACTCTTTCCTAGGCAAAATTTGTGTACAGAAGCTAGACCTAAGCAACAGAAAGCATAACAATTTTTCTATCATGCAAAGGTTACTAATTTGACCTCCCTGGGCACAAAATGCTGATTTAATCGTGAGTCATGAGGATTGTTCTTTGTAAGAGGTTTTTTTTTTTTTTTTTAATTCCTCAAGCTGCAAAAGATTAATAGTATGGATAAAAAGTCCTAACATCATCAGGACAGTGTAACTGAAATGCATATCAATTTTCTATTTCTGAGTCTGTTTACTACTTTGTAGCAGATTTAGAACAAAATGTACCAGATCACTACTAACAATATGTTTCACGCTGAAAAGGAAAAAATAAAATCACATTTTCAGACCGACTCATTATAACATTGCTAGCCTTTGAAAAATATTTGCTCAGTTCTTACATTATAGCTTCACATTTATCTTTCTTAACTGATTTCTCCAAAGCCACTTTGCTTCTGTTCTCATTTTCCCTGTACAAGGATTCTTCACTCGATTCCTTCCTGGCTGGGTGTGGGGATTCACCATTTGAACATTTTCTAGAACTGCTGGGTGCTCCGCTGGGACCTGCTTTCCGTTATTTGTGCAGCACACGTAGCACCTTGCAACTGTCAGGAGGTGCAACTATAACAGGATGTGAGCCGCCCATCGCTGGGCAAGATAGGTGACACTTTCACAGCCCTAGCTACTGCAGCCACACCCTGTGGCCTCAGTGTGACTGACACACAGCGCCAAGCTTCCTCAGTGAGGACATTTATGATTCTTCTCTCAAACGTGTCCTTCCTCGTAAGCTAATCTAACAAGAGATAATGCAGGATGAGGAGTGAAATATATATGCGAGGGGGAAGAAGTGTGGAAAGAAGGTGGCAGACGCCTTTCAGAATACTTTATACTACAGGATCACAAAATATTTAGAATCATAACACAATGATTTTCATGCTGGCCCACTCTATAATTTCTGTTATAACTACTTGCTCATGGTCTTATGTTTCTAGGGGAAAGACTATTTATTATTAACCTGCATAATTCATAGTAATGAATAATTATCAGCATTATTTACTGATTTCCTGTACACATATAGTAGTAAAGTATTTGTGTCAGCCCCAGAATGTCTCTATTCTTCTCTACATTTTTAGCCATTTTATCTATTAGTGCCACTACTAAAAGGCACTATGTGGAATCATTCCAGCAAAAGACTTGAATTAAAGGAGTTGTGTGGAAGTGGCTTTTTAATTTTTATTTAATGGTAGGTCCAATATTAATGCTTTATTACACAGATTTAGACATTTAATTAAGTAACATCATACTGTTGTGAACCTATTTATGAATTTATAGTCTCCTTTCTTTTGTTTCTGTTGTTTCAAATGGAAAAAGATACATCAACTCTGCTTTTTGCATGGCTTGGGATTTTCTTTCATAGTTTACCAATACCTAAAAATTTAATTGCTCACTGTAGGATTTGTTTTCATGGCCTAGAGGGGTTCTTCTACTACTTAATTTATTTCTTCCATCATGCAAACAAGAAACTGCTGTAGTAGCCTATTATCTGTTTTGGGTAGAAGCAGGAAAAATCAAGTTGTGACATGTCATGACAACTTTTCACAGGTGATGGTGTTGAGAAGACAATATCATTCCACTATGAGAATCTCAAATAGCATAGAGTCGAGATTCCCTCTGTATCTTGCACAGTATATGCATTAGATGGTGTTCTTTTTATTCTTAAAGAGGTCCTGAGATCTTCATTACAAACTCACTCTACTTGGTTGTAATACTGTTTATATCATCTCCCCCTTGGATACACAGTCTCTGTCTTGTTCAGTGCTATTTTCTTGGTGTATGTATATTGGCCCTTACCATAGCTTGCCCATCCATATTTTCTGTGAAATAATGATTGCAGGCATCTTACTTTTCTGCTAAGTATGGTAGACGTGGTTACCTACTATGTCTTAGTGCCTCCTTCTGGAAGGACTTGGAGATGATGCGGAAGTTATCAGTTGCTATGCAATCCACTGGCATTCCCTTAATTCTTTCTTTCCATCCCAGTACCTGGCCTCACCTTTCATTAGCTTACCCTTCACCCCACAATATCCAGCGCTGACTGAAAACTCTGCAGATAGCCCTGAGAACAACAGTGAGTTCACTGATGACTCTGAGTCTTCCTCTGCCAATCTGGGTGTGTAGGTTGTGTCCATCACCAGAGTGCCCAGGCTGTTTGAGAGTCTCCCGATGTGCAGTAGTTGTTTCTGCTGTCATTCTGGCTGGCCTGGTTTTGGAATTGGAGAGCACCCTCCTAACATCTGTCCATTGGCTGGTGGAGAAAATGAGGATGTGAGAAGAGAAGTAGAACCCAATGGTTTGCAAAAACTCAACTGCATGTCTTATGTTACATATTATCTTTTTATTAGTTTGTGTGTTTGTTTTTTATTTGTTTTGGCAGTGCTGAGGATTGAACCCAGAGCCTTGTGCATATTATGCAAATGTTCTAGCCCTGAACTATGCCTTTAGTCCCATATTTATCTTTTTAAAATTTATTTCAATAAGAGTAAAATTAAACCTAATTTACAGGAAGAAATGACACCTCAGGAAAGTTTACTTTTCTTCAGACTGTATAACAGTGATAGAGAAAATTAAGAGTTGATCCAGATATTTCTTCTTCCAAAGTCTGTGGATTTCCTGTGACCATGCTGTCTCTGACAGGCAGTTGTTGAGGACTTCGATACACAGAGCCAAATCAAAACTTCCCAACTAGTCACGGTAGAATTAAGCTTAGCACATTTATCTTCTAATACCTAGTCTTGTATTATATTTTTATTAAAATTTCTTATCAAATCATATGACACTAAATTAAAGTACCAGTTTAAAAAAAAAAGAAAATCACAATTTCACAACATAGGTTATATCTGTGTACATGAGTTACGAAAGCAAAATGGTTTATCTTAAGCTTGAAAAAGGAAGGATATTGCACCAGAATTTTTGTGATAGGGTGGTGTTTTCTCACAGTATTATTTAATTGACTTGATTAAGCACATGCCAGGGATATACCTTAGTGGTACAATACCTGTCTGGCAAACTTGAGGCCCTGGATTTGATTCCTGGTACCCCCCAAAATGTAAACATAAAACACATAAGAGGGTGTAGCATATGCTCAGAAATATACTTGTTGTCAATTTATTAAGGCAATAGAAGTTACCGGCACAGTACTGGTGTAGAAATGTTCACAGGCTGACTGGTGTGAGAAGATAATAAGGTGGTGAAGAATATAAGTGAATCTAGGCTAGTATGAATTGTTAGTGCCAGCGTAATCGTGGCAAGATTGGGCAGAACATGTGCTGGTGACCGTAGGCTTTCCTGCAAGTGGGATGAGGATCCCGGGCCGGCAAGTAATGATGCCATGGATTTGATCAACTGCAAGCATTCCACAGAGGATGACATGGAGGGATAGTGGGGGAAAGGCTCCACAGAATTACTTCAAAATGCCGCATTTGTATGTAAATCTCATGTAGTCTCTCTTCCGCTGGGCTATGCTAATGGCATCGTGAATCCTTAGTGTAATCTGAGGCTCCTTAGAGCCTTCTACCCACAGGGGGAGACCTCACCTCCTTCCACCTAGACTCTCACCAGCCCCACTTAATCCCAGTTGACTGATTACCAAATCTTATAAAAATTCTTCAGCTTCAGCCTTCTACTCTGTTTCCTGTATTTGATTTGAGTCTTTCATATCTCCACCTAGGATTCCTAAAACACCTCCCTAACTCATCTTCCTGGATCTTCTAGCCTGCCTGCCTCATATAAAATCCAAATTATACCTTCAGAATTGTTTTTATCAAGTCAAATTATATCTTCTCACTTTGAGTCTAAGGCCACCAAATTTCTCTTTGCCTTCTGGAGTAACAAGAACCATGCTTCTGAGCAGGGTGTCTGGGGGGCCCTCCAGCACCCCACTGCGCCCTCCACCAGAACAACATCTGGTAGAGACCTTCAGTTTGAACTGTTCACAGTTTCGCATGCAAGTCATGCTGTTTCTCACACTCCTGCCTTTGTTCTAGGCTGTCCCTCTGCCTGTAAAGCACCTTCCAGATTTTTTACCTAACGCTAATTCACTCACTTACCAAAACTCCGTTCAGGTGCTAAGTGCTTTCCCCAGAACACTCTTCCAGGACATCAAATTGACTTGACCCTGCCCTTCACATTCCTCTGTCACATAGTGGAACTCATTCTTGGATTTTCTGAATTATGTTTTCTATGTTGTGTCTCTTACCATGTTCTAAACTCCTCAAAAACATATCCTATGCCGTATTCACCTCTATAATGCCAGTACCGATCTCAGGCATGAGGAACATGTTGGTTGTGCTGTGGTTTTAAGACTGGATGCCTGTACATGAGCAGGCAAGTTCTGAGTTTAATGTGGAAGAGTGAAAAGAGAAGAAGAGAGGAGAAAAGAGGGAAGGAGAAGGAAGGGGTGGAGGTGAATGGGGTGGGGGAGGAGTAAAGGGAAGGGAAGGGAAGGGAAGGGAAAAAAGGGCAGACAGCTGAGGTCATATATGACATAAATGTGATCTGGAAGAAGGTAGAGTGGTCTGCAATACAGTAACTTACAGCAATTCCTTTTAGTCCTACGACTCTTGACTGAGGATGGAGGCATGTCCTAATCATCTGTGAACTCCGGTACTGTGTAGTGCCTGGTATGGGACTGAGGTGAATTTCTTTCCTTACCTCTAGTCAGCATGAATGCAAATAAATGATCACAATAAAAAAAAGATATGTAGGTAGATAGCCACACACAGGTAGGTTTCAGAAAGTTATATTCTTGAATTTACATAATCTATCTATCTAACAGCCTGGAGGAGCCAGTAAGGTCTCTTAGGCATTTCTCATTCTCTGAGTCTTCCAGGTTAAGGTAGCCTTGGTGTGTAGGCAGGCAGAATGTTTTTCCCCAAGAGACACAGACTGCTAATGGGCACACAATTTTGTTAGAACTACAGGCCACAGTAATTATTTCCCCCGAGAATTTCTTGTGGAGCCACCCACAGAGGGGTGATTCTCCAGCCTAGAAGACCTTAATACTGCGTCCCAGTTCTAGTGAATAGTCAGGAGAAGCCTTCTAACACCTTCTTACCGCCTGACACTATTCAGTACATCCTTGCAGCCTGACCAGCAGAATGAACAGCTTTTCTTGCCCTAGTATCTTTTCTTGATGCAGTACAAGACTGAGCAGCAGCGTTCAGTGTTTTGCATCTATCTTTTTAGGTAGTCACTCAGAAAGCATGTTTTCTGTTTTGCATTTCTGTGTCCTGACCACAGACTAAAGTATTAATTATGTCATTTAAAATCAATTTCAATTTGTAATAACATGATAATTTGTATGACTTCTCCAACCTTTAATAAATAATACTGCCTTAAAGACTACATATTTAGATAATATAATTTTATAGTATTCATAAACTCCTCATATTTTTTTCCTTCAAGCGTGTATATCTTCCCACACAGATGTCATACGTTTGCTTTAGACTTGCTTCTTTTTCCCCTACCCTCTTTCATGTCTTTCTCCATCAGCATCATCAATTTATAGAGATTAAATAGGATTTTAATAAAGTATCGCTCTCCCACAGACCTCCTCAGTACGGTCCAGTGGTTGCTTCTTTCTCTGGATGCATTATTCACCCTTCTCTTGTCTCAAATTATTTTGTTGATGGCCAGACCTGTTTAGCTAAGTGTGGAGTTAAGAAAACCTTGTTCAAATTACATTTCTCAGTGTCAAGATTTCACCAGTGACTCACCTATCTCTTTTTACCACTCTGGTCCAGAGCAGTTATACTTGACAAAAGCAGAGAATTCAAAAAAAAGTTAGAAGGACAATGTGCTCTTTGGTTAACCCACCCCTGCCCCAGCTTTACAAATTACTTTGGAGTCTTTCTGCATAGTGAAGGAAAAGAGAAAGACTAACAGACTCATTTTGTCTTCTATAATTAGATTATTTGAAAGTCAAAATTTTAGAATGAAATAGTTCTGACTTTTATATCACTTTAATTAATTAAATTGTTAGTAGGGGTAGAATGTGATCTCATTCATGAAAAGTGTGCAGTAAAACCCAACAAAATATGTGTGCAAAAAACTAAAATAGCATGGAAAACAGAACCTGTGAATACTGAGAAACAGAACACAGAATTTTAAGACATAGCTTACTAAAGTTTATAATTTGAAAAGAAAACGTTAAATAAATATGAGCACTTCTCTTTTCATCAACTAATTTTGTTTTATGGCCAATCAAATATCAAGTTTCTAACACATGCATAGTAGTTTGTGTTTTTCATATTAGCTACTTCACTTGATAATGAATCTTTCTAATAGAAAGAAGAGGGTTCTTTTAGTACTATTGTGACCTCTGTAAGTTTTTTTTGTAATATTTTACTTTTTCTGTTTTGTTTTCAGGACTTCACTTAAGAGAGTCACCTTGGGAGAAGAAGTTGTTCCACCTGTGGGAATGTGTTCTCCTCGATTGCTGCTAGTGCCCAGGATTCATTTGTGACTTGGCAAATCAAGACAAGTTCCATGCTTTCTGGAGTGGCACAGACCTTCACCTAATTGGGGGAAGAATTCCCAGCGTTTGGTTCATGCTACATGAGGGACCATGGCAGCCTCCCGGACAACCTCAAGGTCTCCTCGGGACATCGCCAATGTGATGCAGAGGCTGCAAGGTAAGAGCATATATTTCAGAGTGTTTTTTAAAAAGTATATTTTTAAATTTGAATACCAACTTCACTATAAAATCCATCAAACTGCTTATGTTTTATTCAATTTTATGGAATTATAAGAGTGGGGTGAATGTCTTTTATTCTAGTGTTTTCAAATGAGTATGTGTTGCCTTAAGATGCTGTCCTCTTTGTGTAGAAAGGAAAGGCAAAGACATCACTCTCTTTTATGCTGTTGATGTCTGAAGTAAGGTGATCTTAATGATCTTTTAGGGTCTAGTTAGGAAAGCAGAGCCACTGACAAATGTACTGATGCTGCCTATTGAGAATACCATTGACAATAAGCCAGTGACCCAAGGCTCTGAGACAGGAAATGGTGTGATGGCACTCATGGTTAGGGATGGATGGCATGGTACTGCATCCTTTGCTGATGCTCTTTCTGTTAAAGGCAAACCGTCTTCTAGAAGAGAATTAACAGTGAAATGTTGTAACAACTCATAGGTGAACTCCTGTTTGTGAAATTTCTTTAAACCTCTATAGTTTTTAAACCATAAAATTAATTATCATGAAAAACCTAATTATCTCCTGTAGCTATATTAAAGTGTTGTTTCTTGCTCATAATTCCAATGGCACCTCTCCCATGCTTTTAATATATGCCTTTAGGATACAAAATTTCCAAATTTAGAATGATTTTTCTCTCATGTCTATCAAGAAAGCTGAAAAATAAACTTATAGTTTGTCTTTTAACAAGTTATCATTCTGGTTTTGCACTATGGCTATTATATTAACCTGTTAGGAACCTGGTTTGTTTGTTTCTAATAGATCTTAAGAGCAAAGCAATAAATTCCACTTAAAAGTTTTTGACTTTCAGAATACAAACCAAACTCTTAAATCTGGATATTTGTGATGCAGAAGAGGCTCTTAGATATAGAAAATCAGGAATTGGCTAGGTCCAGATCAATTCCTATGTCAGAGAAGACTCCCCCGCAACCCCGCCACCCCAAATTACCAAAAAGTTCTGACTCAGGTGAACCCTTATTTCTGCTCACCTTCCCCAGGTTAATTTGTGACACCTCAACAAAAATAACTGATTTTGTTGAATGTACTGGTATAGACCCTTTCTCCAATTCTCTGGATGTGTTCTGTACCAGGGATCTTAAATTGAAGTTGTACGTTTTGATTTTGGTAGATGGAGCACTGAATTTGGAGTTTATTCCTTTGGGTTTTCTCTGTTTGCTTTAGGGCAAGTTACTGAACCGTTTTATCCCTCAGTGGTCTTGTCTATGAATGATGGAAAGGAAACCTACAAGCTCCTTACCAAAATAAAGGAAGATAATTCAAATCATAGAGCAAATCTCTCTAAGTTTGTTAAGTGTGGAACTTCTCAGGATGAAGTGCAAGCACGTAAAGGACAGTGGTAAAGAGAACACTTGAAAGGACTGAATCAGAATGAGATGCTGTGCTCCACGCACTCTGCTTTTCTTTCTCTTCCTTGTTGGAATGGAAGTCCTTTCAGTAAAGCACAAGTTACTGATGAGAGGAGACAGAAGGGTACTGACTGATGCCTCCGGGCTTTGTCTTACGTGTTTTATAATGGTGTCTACCTGAGTTTCCTTGAGAAATGTGCCAAGTGAAAGAAAGAGCTGGAGCCCCAACCCTTGCCCACACGAGGCCAGGACAGCAGATGCCCTGTTTAACATCTGTGCATCCAAATGTTCCGAGCGCAGTGGCCCTTCGGCCTCCACACCCCCAGCGCTGCGTTTCGAGGCTCATCGAAATAATGTCTAGATAATCCTCACGGTCTGTAAATCCCGGGGTAAAGCGTGCTATGAAATGGTCACAGAACACTGAATGAGAAGGCACAGACTGATAATTTGTTGCACATCTTTCTTCCAACTTTTTTCCTCTCCTGTTCTCTCCTTTCTTCTTCTCTCCTCCCTGCCCTGTTTTTCTTTCTCTCATTCTTCCTTCCTTTCTTCTTTTTTCTTTCTTTCTCTTTCTCTTTTCCTTTTCCTCTTCTCTTCCTTTTTCTTTTCTTTTTCTGGTATTGAACTCAGGGACTTCTCATTGAGCTACATCCTTGGAACTTTTAAAAAATTTTTAATTTTGAGGCAGGGTCTTCAATTGCCCAGGCTGGCCATCAACTCACTATCTTCCTGCCTCGGCCTTCTGATCTACTGAGGTTATAGATATGTATCACCAACTGTAGCCAGTGTTTTCTAATTATCCAGATTTTTAGAAGAATGTTAATGATCTTAACATATTTACTGTTGTATAAAACCAGCCAGTTTATTACAGAACGAAGTGACTATTCTTACTGTATTCTACAAAAGAAAAATTGCAAGTCAGAATACTTATAAAAGAACAGTAAGCCGTATAATTCAGAAAAGATAAAATTCTGACCACCAGTTACTCTGTGTAGATAGATTATTGATGGCCACAAAAGTAAGGTCTGCAATGCTGTAAAGTGGGACCCATCTAGGCTGCATCCATGATGGCACGTGGCAGGAGGTGAAGGTGATCTGGTGGGCGTGCCTGTTGACAGACCGATCTGCTGGGTCATCCTCTGACTCCCTGCCTAGGCGCTGCTCTCTGGCTCTCCTTCCTGAGAACAGTTGTTGCTCTGTACTGCTGTTCCTTGCTAAACAGGGTCAGCCCTTCCAGACAGCCGAGACCTGTCATCTGTCAAGGCTTTTTAGAAGCTTTGCTTACCTGCTATAATCTCTATACAGGTGACAAATATCCTAATAAATCTGGGACTGACATAATTGCCCAACTAATTAACACAACTGAGGAAAGATAAATCTCTATTAGCTTAAATAGAACCACATTTGCTATTTTCAAAGTTCAAGTCCATAAGAACATTCTTTGTGGTCTTCTCATTTGCCTGGATAGATAATGAGTAGATAATAGTTTTATTTTTTCCCTTTCTTGGATTTTAGAACCATGAATAAGTAATAAAGAGCATGCAGCTCTAAGTAATGACAACTTGGCATTATTAGCTAGCTTATTTAGTGTGTAAATATATTTGTTGACTATTTTTCTGCTTTTAATTTTTATTTCCAATGATAAGAAATTCAAGCACACACACAGATTGCTACATAATTTAGTTGCTATTGTAACAGCTCAATACCTCACCTTTGCCAGTATTTGTGCTTGCTTGAGCATAATGTTTTAGGCTGAGATCCTGAATTATGGATGAACTGTCAGACTGCAGTGCGGAGTTTCATTTGCTCATAAGAATAATGAACGTTTCTGTAACTTTAATCAATTTCAATAGAGGCTTAAAAGCAAATGCAGGAAAACAGTGTAATATAAAGATATTAATCTTTAAATGCACCTAATTAGTGTGTCTATTTTTTGCTTTTAAATGCTGAGAGATCCATTTAATAGATGGTTTAGATTTAGATGGAATCACTTTAGATTTAGGTCATATCTAAGAAAATAATTTTTCAGGTTATAAATTTTTAAAGAAACTGACAATATTTGAGACTTCTTTGTAAATTTTCATAGTGTTTCTGAATTCCATTCACTTAAAAGTATTTGTTGACTGATTTTTTACCAACCAATTTTCATTTGAACACAATATATTAAACTTCATAGATTTTTAGATTAATATCAGTGTTAATCCTTGTTTGATAGGGTGACATAAATGCAAGTGGAAAATGGCAGAAAAAAAGCAACAGGGAACGGAACAGTGTCTTAACAGAGTAGTTTAATAAAAAAGTAGCATGATCTTCAGCAAGATCAAAGTTTGATTTCCAAGTCCTTGATTAAAGGAAAACTAAGAAAGATAAACATTTTTACCACTGGAGATACATCTATGAAATCTGTTAACTATTTAGTAAAAGATAATCATGGCCTCTTCTTAATCTTCTTATGGGAAATTGTAAATATTTTTGTTTAAATAGAGTATTTACTATAAGTTTATTTGCACCATAAGAGAAAGCCTCAAACTAACATAATTTGTTTAAAAAGGACTAAAATATTAGAAAATAATAGAAGCATAATTTTCTTGTGGTTTAAAGTCAGTAGCTATAAGTACAGCTTAGGAAAGAATACTCTGCCATCTTCTAATTTTGTATAGTGCCCTAAGAGATTGTGTTTTATATTTTATTACTCTGTCTTAACGACCTTTCTTATGAAACCATAAAACTATGTCAAAATCCCATTAATTTTATTTAGGCTGAAATTCTCCTTTGGGCTTAATCTCTCTCTTTTTACATGAATGATGTGTGACAATACCTCAAATTTAAACTGACACAAAACAAGAATAACTTCTGTATATTTTGAAACATTATCACTAAATAAATATTTGATGAAAAATGAATAAATTATAACACTTCCATTAATTAATTGAAGATAAAATTAGTTTTGTCAAAGAAACTGTTTAAGAGGGTCTTGTTTCATCTGATATAATTTTAAGAAATATCTGAGTTCTCTTTTTAATCAAAATAAAGTTTTCAATATACAACCACTTTAAGAACATACACTCTGCCTGAATGCATGATTATACTGATTCAGATATGTGTGTGTGTGCATACGTGCGTGCATGTGCTGTTCTTACAAAAACAGTACTATAAATGAATTTTCATTCCCAAGGATAGATTCCATGTTAGTATCTTTCCTTATGTACTAAAGACTTTACTTCCATACAATCCCCTGCCCTACAAACCCTTCTGTGTACAGAGCTGTTTCATTCATTGTGCTATTTGGGAAAGTGCCTTGGACCTTTTGGTCTTTAGGGACCTACATAATACTGCTTGTCAAATAGAAGAAAACAGAGAACAAAAGTAACAAAAGTTTACCAATTCCAACACTGTGTCAATTAGATAAATGTAAATCAAATTAATTCAAGAGTATGTTTGTGCAAATAGATTGATATGGAATACAGCTAGAATTGATTGCACTTGACATAGTGTGTGACAGGCCCTAAAGGAAGAGTGTCAGTCTACACATAAAACGGAAGTGTCCCTCGGTGTGATTTCTTTTCACTCCTTTTACTA